CATGGCAAACGAGAAAAAAAACAGATTCTCAGTTTATAATTAATCCAAAGAGCCAACAAAGGACAGAAGATGGGCGAATGACCATAAAATTACAAAATGCCGGAACTGAGGAACCAGTGATAGTACAAAATGCCCCCCGTCGACAAACAGCGCCCCGCCCCCTTCCCTACCTTGTCTTGTCCCCTTCTGAGTTTTCCTAACTTTCTACCGCCTTTTCCCAGTTCTCCGAGGGTTCTTCTCCCCGTATCCCCCTCAAAGTGTTCGAAAAACTGCCCTTCGAGCGACGGCGGGGGGGGGGGGTAAAGGGAGTCGTTATCAGACAACCACTTATCTCCACTGTCGAAGATAGCACTTGTATAGTAGGGGGAGGGCTTTTTGCCGTCAACCCCCCCCCCGGTCCCCGTGATAGGCTACCGACTACTCAGCTATATGTTCTGCATCTAGACACCTATTGAAGTGAAATATTCCAAGATTCACGGGAAATCGAGCTTAGACTGCCTGATTCTAATTGGAATTCAATGTTGACAGCACATTTGGCCTTTTCTTTGGTATGGCTGTGGCTGCCATACTCGAATGATTGATTGGCCCAACTGTTTCGTTCAGCGGCTCGTCGGCCACAAGGCCGCAATGTCAGCTTTCTCACGGCTGTGTTTGTCGCCGCGTTATTTACAGCACAACGATCATTTTGTTACATAGATCTGCTCATCTCTCAGGAGCTCAAATTACCGGTTCCTTCGGCTCGCTCATGGCTCTAGATATACTTCAAAAGCACCTGGCCGGAATGGGAGGGGTTTCTAGATCATGAATTTTTGAGGAGAAACAGAGACTATTAACCTTGAGGGGCATATAAGGGACACCTTATGGAATTACCGCTATGGAAACAAGCACCTTTGCCTGAACCAAAAGGCGGAAGGAGCTTTGTGGTCGGTGAACCGATTCCAATTGGTGATCTGTTCGGATGATGTCAGTCCCGCTAATAGCGACGATAAAAATGCCTAAAAATCTTCTCAAAAGCCGTGATCCTGATAGTGAAGGATTTCTCCAAAATACACCTCCTCGTCGTAGGGGACTCTCCAGAAATGATGGACCTTGCTTGTAAATCCCTATTTTTTGAACCTTTTCCTTTGGAGGGGCACATTTTGCCCAGGAGGCGCCTGATCAAGGTTTTCGAGTCCCGATAGAGAGGAAAGGTTTTGCTTGAAACGCTGTTCCTAATGACATACTTCTAATATCGTATTGGCGCTACAGTAATTCCAGTGGTGCAGTAGATGCCCTTCATCCCGCTGTGACTGAACCTTTTCAGAAACCATTTTATACGTAGAACCTATTCACTCTGGACTGGTTAAGCTTTGACCAGAGCATGTTTAGGGGATCCCAGCAAGTGGGTCGTATTTAGTGTGGGAGGGGAGGGGTTATGCCTCTGATGGCAATGTTTTCAAATGTTGAATCTTGTTTTCCCCGTTTCAAGTACGAGAGTGAAGTCGTTCCGGAGATGGGAATTTCAAGGGGAGGGGGCTCGTAGTCTGCAAAATTTTTAGTGACGGAGGACATGTCTCGGTTCGGGACTTGATCACCAAGGACGACACCGGCCCCATTTTCTTTTCTTCCTACCGTTGTGTTAATTGTAAGTTAGTATTACCAATATTATTGTTATATTACTGTTATATGAACATTTTTCGGTAGTTTACTGTAGTGCTTACCTTTTATGATTGCTCTGTAAAATGGAACGCTAAGTGCCTCAGCTAACATTTGTATGACTGCCTAAAAAGGAACGTTTACATCACGTTCCACTTACCACTCATGAAGTTCGGTGGGTTAAATTCTGGTTCCGATCCCGCCCAAGGCAATCGAACCTTTAGCCCTTCTGATTGGTCATTCAGTGCTTCAGGGGTGTAAAGCCATAGTGTCTTCTGGGGCTATGGGGAGCCCATACGTGAGTGGTAGCGGTGCCAGGTTGTGATTCGTAAAACAGACTGGCGATGAAGGGCTATATTGTTGGGATTCGACTGATGATTTCATCGCTAGTTCCTCTTCTCTTTCTTTTACCTTCCCTTTTCTTTTCCGATCGCTAACGTGTAGATGATGAGCTGAAAAGGTGCGCTTACCCCCCCCTCCCCCCTCCCCCACCACCATTCGAGTACTTCGAAAGGACACGCGAAGTGGCTGCAGACACTGAGAGCTTCTATGGGAATCTCGCTGTCCACGTTTCAGAACTTCTCTCGATTCTTAGCCAGCATCAAGAGCTACTACTCTACCAGTAGCCTTTTCGCCCATTTTCATCATCATTGGAGTTTGTCTTCGATCCCCATTAACCACGGTCAAGCTCACGACGCCATCTCTGTTGACCGCCCCTTTTGAGCATGACAGCTCAGTAAAAACAGAGGAGCAGAACCCGCCGCTCTCTCCAGGCACTGTCAACCCTTTTTTTTGCCCCATTCATTGAAATCAGACTAGGTCCATAGAAGTTTTCCTCTGAAGGCCTCGCACGCTACTTCAATACACCGTCTTTGGTTGAGGATTCTTCAAGAATGATCTGCTCTGTCTATCCATCTCAAGCTGTCCCTCATGTTTCCCCTCCTCTACATTTGTAACTACGTGTGAACTGGCGCCGCGCTCCTGAATGTGATATTGCCTTCAATGATATTGGCTATCGATTATTGTACATGAAAACAGCTTCTTTTAGATGGCTTATCAAATACATACGTCCACACCATGTCGTCCTGGGATCCCCAGCGCTTCTGAATACATCTTCGTAAGTTTTGCTGCTTTGATTGTTTGTTTTCTTTTAATTTCGAAGTGTTAGATAGGTTACATCTGTAGTACCTAAACTGACTTTCTTTCTGGAAGCGATGTTTCCAGCCGAGGAAAAAAGTGGTAAGAGGCTCACGGTTATCACCTCTGGATCCTTTTGCTCTACCCTTAACGCTTTTACGGGGGTTGGTCGAGACATAGACGTTGCGGCGGGCCAATGAAAACGACGTCTTGTGCGCGGCACTCCCTATAGCACCTAATCAAATCAACGTGGAAGTTTCACGGTATGTCGAACAGGGCAATTTCCTGGTATTTGAGAGAATTTTTCGGTATTCGAACCCTCGGATGTGCCCTTTATGCGACCATCCTTCCATAACCCACCGACCATCTTACAGGTTTTTCCTCTCGAAGTTCTGCCGTTGAGGGGGAGATAGATTTTCTCGATCAACTATCAGAAGCAATACTTTTGTGGAGTTGCAACTAGCGGGGAAGAGTGGAAAGGGGCGGGGAAAAGTGGGGGATATGCAACGTGGAAAACAGAAAGACCCCCTACTCTTCAGCGACCAAAAAGAACCCCTCGCCGGGGACTCTCCAATGTAGACATGCCCTAATGTAGAGTTATTAAAGAATGCTAGGTAGTCTGTCCACCGCTGTGTTTCCGTTACGTGAAGCAGCCCCCCCCCCAAATGCGACACCACCTAAGCAATGAACTTTAAAATTCCACGCGGCTGCAATCGATATCCTTTGAAGGCAAGTGGCACGATAGATCGACAAGGCGTACAAGGTTGATAGGCCTAGCAGGAAAGAATACTGTGCGCCTTAGGTGGCGTTGGCTCGCCTTTTCCAACCATCGTGTTGGCACGATGCCAACGGGCAACTCGTCCGAAAGTGCACGTCCAGTGCCTACTGGTTTTTCTGTAGGTTTTCGGCCGTTTAACATAGCTTTTTCGTCATTTTTCCGCTCTATAGCATCCCTGCCATTACATTTGAGCAAGTACCGAATTATCGTGCCTTATGCCTTCGACAATTACGAGTTTCGGGAGTGGTTGGGAAAGGGGGAGGGAGGGGAGGTAGGGATTTGCGTGCCCAAAAGGCTGCAATTTATCGTTTATTGTACACTATTAATTCTTGATAGCCACGTTTTTGAGAATCGTAATCCCAGCAATTCAGCCTGTCTCGCCGTCATGTCGAAACGCGCTGATTCCGCATTCGATTCTGAAGAAGCCAGTGCAGTCGATAGGCAGTAACGAGATGCTTTCCAGCCAGACTTCCGACTCAACCTCTAGCAGCACCAATAAAAATAACCAAAATAGCGAAAAGGTGAGGTCAGCTTTCGTCGGTAACAGACGTTGCATTTCTGAAAAATCCGCATTTTCAGCTGAAAATCGCTTTACGTCTGCTCACAACCATGGTGGTCGCCACCGGTGTTTCCTGTGTGATGAGCCTTCAGTTTTTTCTACAAGTTAACTGGAGCAGTCTCATATCGAAATTATGTCCGCCTGTCAATTGGAGTTCTATGTCGTAATTAACAAGTGTATTTGCTATGTTGAGCCCTTTCACATCCGTGGTTTTCAAAAGAAACCGTTCACCAATGTGTAACCGTCAATGGGCGTGTTACGTCTTTGATCATTTCTGTGGCCCATTTTGAGCTGCTTTCACTTTCTCTCTCTTGAGTTCAGAGCACCACCCAGGCATGTCGTAAACGTTCGAATCCACGGAAGGGGTCATATTCGATTGGACTGGATTGCCTATAGCGCTTCCTGGTCGCATCCGAAGTGTAATTTTTTTTTGGGGAGAGAACTGTAGGAATTTATGGAAAAGCGGTGGTAGAACTGCAGCAGGTTAGCGAGAATTTAGAAAGATAATAGGCAGGATGGAGATGGGAAGGAACTGGATCGTTCCAGAGAAGGAAGTTCTGAAGGAGGGGTCGTGTTTTGCAAAATTTTCCCCGAGTAGCAGGAACTGCCCTGGGCACAATGATAGGCCCAACTCCGCCCATATGAACGGCATGTACCAAAGTGCATTTATTTATTTTTATGCACGCTCAGGTGCGCTTCCATAACGCTCAACTTATACTAACGATGATCTACGATCTTACCTAAACTGAGAAAACAGACATTCATTAGAATAGGTAAAGTTCTCCAGTCAGAACTTTGCTGGAAGAATAAAAAAAGATTGACGAAAGAGTCAGCTCTGCCACCTGTAGGGATCATCTGCCTTGGGGTAAATCATCATTAGCTCGGTGAAATTAAAAATATTTCTTCCTGTTTTTCTTTCCGACTTCTTCTCCATTTCTTTTTTTCTCTTTTTTTCCTCATCTATGCCTTCAAAATTACTGCCTGGACCTTTAATTTCTCAGCGTAATGCAAGCGACCGATCTTGCCTGATTTTGGAGATGACATGAAGATCCGCGGGTTCTACATGAGACTGAACTTGTAGAAGGCCTACCTGAGTCGTCAAGTCACGGCTTCGGTCTCTTTACCTCCCTCCCTTCAGCCCCAGCCCTATTTTATTACAATGAACGCGTTTATCGGTCCGTTTGTTAACCGTTTTCTCGCGATGGAGCCTTGAACCTTGTTGATGACCTCAGTAAGTGTTCTACAACTTCAGTCTCATGTAGAACCTGCGGATCTTCATG